ATAAAATTTTTACTTTTATTAATCCGGAATTTAAACCATCTATAGCTATACAACATTTTTGTCCACCTTCATTACATAATCAAGTACTTTCTTTAATGGTAGAACATTTTAATTACCATCCGCATATTCTTTTTGGCACTTCAGGAACATTTTTACAATCATCTACGATTTATGAAAATGCAGTAATGACAATGTATAACTTTTGTGTTAATAACAATTTACCACACTTATGGGCTTATCTTTGGGGAGAATGGTACCAAGCTAATCGTTGGTGTATCTGGGCTCGGTCTGCTGGTTTGAATATACCTTTGGCACGTACAACAATGATTGTTGAAGCCCACTGGAAATCACTTAAACATGATTTTTTATATAAATTTAATCGACCTCGTTTAGATTTACTTGCTTATGTTATTACAAATCGGTTTGTACCACAATTATTAACCAAGTATAATCTTACTCTTGCCGGTCATATTGAAGCTGCATGGAAAAAAGATTTTAAAAAATTATGGCGATTTCTAGCAACCAAAGAAACAACAAATTCAGCACAGTACTATACGGATATCCAAAAATGGATATGTAGCTGCCCTGCCTATTTAATTAATAGATTTATGTTGTGTAAACATCTAATTAGTAAAGCAGGTGGTAATTCAATTAAACTTACATCTATACATCGATATACAAGATATCCATTTGTTTATATCGAGCATGTTAATACTAAACCATTAGATTCTTCAACTATTGAATTAGATATTAGTTCAAATTCTGACAATAGTCATAATTTTTCTTTTTCACATATATTTTCTGATATTAATTCTGAAGACAATGTGTTAGATAGTTTTCAACCAATGGTCAATGACTTGAAATATTTAGTAACCGATTTAGAAAAAGAAATTGCTAATGGTAACAATCGACATTTAAAAGTAGTACAACATCATATACAAAAAACTCTTAAAATCGCGAAAGATATTAAAGAATATCGTAATCGTCTTGCTAACCCTCAAATCTCAAAAGCAAAAGAATGGACAATGTTTTTATCTTAATTACGAATGTAAGTAGATTTTTTTTTTTAATTACTAATTATTTTAAGTCGAATAATATAATAATATTGTTTTTTAGAACATATATAGATATTGTCACCTTGCTATTAAGTAATCTAC